ATTAAGAAAATTTCAGATTTGAACATGGTAAAATAAACTGTTAAATGAGAGGGTCCGTCCCAAAAGATATTTTGTATTAAATGAAAACTAACCTGGATATGGGGTAGTGACTAAAGCTTTAAGGAATCCAGACGTACAACATAATAATAGTACCCTGTATCAGATTGATGCAAAACAAATTGATATTGACCTTTTAGACAGGATTTTACAAAAGAAAACCTCTCTGGTATTTTGGGTGGATTTTTATATCTCTGCCCCCCTGCGGGATTTGGACATGTGAGATCTCTTTCTAACGTCCAGAGCCAATGGACTCGAGGGGAACTCCCATATTAGTCCTTATTTGGTCATTGTGTGTGTTATATGCCGCATAGCCAAGACCGGAAGCAGCAGCCATCTGGTGGCTCCATTAGCAGCTAAACTTTGCTATGCGAATTTTTACATAAAAATGAATTATGGTTATAATAATTATATTGCCCGAAAAATTATCAACCTAATGGAATAACCGATTCAGCGCGTTTTCTCGTTTAAATTTGCATTGCACACGTCTTTGATCCAATTACAGCTACGTGAGACGATCGTCCCTTAGAAGCTATGTAAAGGTACGTGTTGTGATGGTCTGTCTTGCCTCCCCTTCGCAAAATTCGATCACTCAGTGAGTACTATATACCTAAATAGTCTTGGAAACTCACTTTTATTCGGTATCTTGATGGCAGCAGATAAGTAATAGGTACTTTTACTGAGTTCTGTGACAATGTCCGTTAGCATTTTTCGCTATGGGTAGTATATAGATATCATCACATGAAGTGTCGAATTCGGAACAGGGGAAGCACAAGACAGACATCACAACACTTTGTACTTTCATAGTTTTAGGGAGATCGTTCTCACGTGAGCTGTTAATCGATCCAAAAGACGTGGTCAATGCATAAACGAAAAACGCGCTGGATCGTTATTCTAGGTGATAATTTCTGGCAATAATTGAATTATTATAATCTAATTCATTTTATGTAAAAAATCGCTACAAAATTAGGCTGCTAACTGTAGCCACCAGAGGGCTCTGCTCGGGTCTTGGCTATGCGCAGTATTACCACACACCACATGAACCAAATAAGGACCTATATGGAAGTTCCCTCGAGTCATGGCTCTGACGGTTAGAGAGATCTCACATGCAAAATCCAGCAGGGGGAGCAGAGATATGAAAATCACCAATACCCCAGAAGAGTTTCTTTTCTAATCTGTCTAAAAAAAGGTCAAATTCAATTGTTTTTGCATCATCTTGATACGGGTACTTATTATATGTGTGTTACTTTGGATTCCTAAAGCTTTTTAGTCTACTAACCATCATCCAAGTTTGAGTTTTCACTATAAGTACAAATATCTTTGACGACACTATTCATTACAGTTTTTTACCATTGTCAATCTGAATTCTTTAAAATAAAAAAACATCCTATATTGATCTGACACCTTCTAGATCCAATGACATGGGTTGGTTTAGCAATTACTTGAGAAAAGTTATTAATTTACCCTTTAGAAAGGGAAGTATGGTCATTTGTTTTCGGGATGTCATATTGAGCCTGAAACCTAAAAACACGCTCTGGTTAACAGGTTAAGTCAGTTAAAGCATTTGCTGATTATTTTGGGGCTATATTTCATTTTTTGGATTTACATTAATGTTTTTATAATAGTATCCCATATCAGCATAATTAATTGGTATCCCTAGAGTTGCCCTAGTAATATTTGTACTCTTTAGAGCTTCTTTGCCCGAGTACAGTCCTGTATTAATGAGACGAGTATGTGTTCAGGTTGGACGAGGCGCTGAAACGGTGAGGCAAGACCCAGAGAAGTTCCAAGGAGCGTTTCAGAGGTTGGTCCAGGAGGACACGGAGCGTACCCCCTGGCAAGCGTTCCCCAACAAGAGGGCGCCACACCATCAAGGTCTTCGCACAGTGTTCTTTTGTTCACGCTTATTTAAGTTGTGTACAATAGAGCTGCCTATAATGGATTAGGGGATGCAGTTATATTCGAATATTCGTTACCAGTCTCCATAGCGGATATACTATTAAAAATCGATTTTTTTTATATTATTTAGTTCTTTTTCTTTTCCGGGCTTAGTTTCACCAAAATAGACTAATGTAATAATTTAAGTAATAAGAATTAAAATTGTAAATGTGCCATTGTCACACACCAGTTGTTTTAACTTGTAAACTTGGGAGGAAGCCTGCGGGCAGAGAGGACGCTCCTGCAGCAGCCTACACACCGCCCCGCCACCCCCTCTCCCTCACACGTGCGACTAAGATGACAAAGCGGCCAGGTAAAAAGTTGATGTGTTTATTGTCGTTTTATTTAGTTTGTATGTTACATGTTCCAGTAAAGAAAAACAACCGGGAATTCCGTTGTCTGATTGTTTTTTTTCTTCTCCGGTGGCGATAGAATAATCCATATATCGTAGCGCTAAAACCATTAGATTATGGGGTCAGTTTCGCAACCTAATAAATTAAAATGTAAGGTTGGTAATCTGTCATACAGTGTTGGATAAAAATTCAGAAACACCTGAGAAAACTAAAACTGACACCAAAACAATTTGACCACAGGGCCCCGTGTACAGGCAAGGGAAGAGCAGGACCTTCTGAATCACATTACCCAATCACAATGGAGGTAGTCACCGTGGAATTAAAAGCAACCACGTTAATTGTACAACTTATTACAGAGTTAGGACAAACCAATCGTTTCTTCATTAGTTTCCCAATAATAATTCTGTGGTGTTTCCTTGCAGGTGAGTCGGAAAGCGGTCTGGAAGGTAACACACCTGAAACCCACAGAGCCCTGAGCGAGAAGGAACCTTGGCGACCTGGTGACCAGGCCAGCATGAGCTACGAGCGGGTGAGGGACTGGTTCTCCTCCACCACCAGGAGGGGGGAGGAGGGCAAGGAGCTGTTCAGTGACGAGGAGGCAGAGAGGGAGGAGGAGGAAGAGGACGAGGAGGAAGAGGAAGAGGAAGACGAGGAGGAGGAGGAGGAGGAGGAGGAGGAGGAGGCAGCAGCAGAGCATGCAGACAGCGAAGAAGAGATGGAGGTGAAGGAGCAAGGAGAGGAGGAGACTGATGACGACTGCAACGAGGAGGAGGTGAAGGAGGTGAAGGAGGAGGAAGAGGAAGAGGAGGAAGCAGTTGAGGAGAAATCTGAAGGGGTCAGCCAATCACAGCCTCAGGCAGAAGAGCAGACAGGAGCAGAGAGGTGCGTTTGATTTCTCTCACACGAACACTGGTGATAAGTTACCCTCACGTCTTTATGACAAAAAGTTTGCTTTTGTTTTATTCAGACTCTGAATGTGAATACCTTACATGTAACAATAATCAGAACACAATTAGTTAAAAGAAAAGTATTTCTATAAAACTGACTATAATATCACTGGATCTTTAACTATTTGACATAATGACCTTTATGAAATGCTGTTGTTTGACTTTTTTAAGATATAGTTTGACTTTTTCTTTTATTCTACATTATGACTTTTAGAACTTCAAAATAAAAAATAATAATACACCAGCTGCCTATTATGACTAATAATGCGTAAATAAAACCAAGATCTTTTTTCACTCAAATAAAATGACAAGCAAGCAAACATGTGTTCACCTCTATGATGAGAGTATGAAACACTTGAACATTTGCATCTTGAAGAAAATAAAAATAGTTTGATTAATTTGCGATAAAACAAGGGCCATCATGCGATTTATTGCCATTTCATATTTTAACAATGACAGCCCGACTTGAACATACTAGACTTTTTCATTACATACTTTACTGTGTATCATTTACAACTTATTATACTGACTATTCCACGGCATAGTACCATTTATATCTATTTTTACTTTACTTACGCATTACTACACCTGACTTTGCTCAGCATCAACAATATGTGGACTATACTAAACAGGTCATGATATTTAAAGACAAATGTATATTAATAATCCTAATATATCATAGACATGCAACGATAAGTTGACTAATCGCCTGAATTGACGACTATTGGTCCACTAGAAAAATCTTCAGTCGAGGGCAGCCCTAAATCTTATTATCTGAGACTAGAATAAACCCATTTCTTTAGGCATTTCACATTTGAAAATGAAATAATATTTGACATTATGTCTGTGTTTCTTCTTTTAATCTGTAGAATCAGTGCTGCTTCCTCACACTGTGGAGTGGACATGGAGGGAGAAGGTGTCAGTGTTTCTCAGCTGGTGGCTCGGGACCTAAACATGGCCGCAGGAGGCTCACAGGTGGACTAACTGATCTAGAGTCTGTGCCTTGGATTGGAGCTTTGGGTTCTGCAGCAGCTGAGAAACACTGAGAGGACGCTGATCTACAGACAGGAAGGGTTTGAGGGGCTGAGGGGACCAACAGCAGAGTAAGTCCCCTGCTCCTGTACAAATATCAAGGCTTTTATTTTTTGCCCTTTGTCCTTTTTCTTACAAAAGAAGGAATCACTGTTTTTAAAGTGAGACGTGAGACCTTGCATGGTTTTTTCATAATTATCAAAAAACGTTTCTCTGAATGATGGACCATTTTCTCAAGGCCCCCAAAACGTTTTACTGTTCTGATGAAAAGAGGTTTTTGAAACCATACTGTTTTTTTATGTGAATAGACAAATTAGTGCCATTCTGTTTATCATTTCTTTTTCTGAATCAAAGGAAATCAGTGCGAGTCTGCGTGCGAACTTTTTTGTATTTTTTTTTAAGTCTTAACGACATATACATATAATGGAAACTAAATCCATGATACTATTATTACGCTATCCTGAGTTCTTTTGAATACAGTGATGATTTCCATGTGAGCAGGTGTTTGGGTCCATTCAGTTTCAATGACGTCAAATCAGCTTCTGGATTAACGTCCAAAAACGCAAAAGGCACCAACACCTTCAAAAATCCACCTTAAAACTATCATTTGGCAATTATTAGATTCCATTTTTTATCAGATGTATTATGCTCTACATAGTGGATTTAAGTTATTCCAAAATGCAACTATAAGGTAGGCTCATCAAGTTATTTACCTCCATAAATACACAAACAATTTAGATTTTTAACTCAATATCAATGTATCAAAATTAAAGAGTTTCAATGATTTTAAAATAATAATTTTATATTAGGATAAAAAATAAGAAAGAAATCCTTTCATTTGAATAACCATCATGGTGTTTACCATACTGCTTAGAATACAATATTCATCTTACACAAATAAAATAACAAAAAGGTCACTTTCAAAAATGTGAATAAATAAATAAAAACATGTTATGTTTTTTGACTGTTGGTCTGTGTTCTTTAAAGATTTCCCTCAGGCTCGGACTAATGATTATGTTTGTTAAACCTTTCTGATGGACCTTCATTAATCAGAGAACAATCGTCATTTAAAATGTATTTTTGTTGGTCCGACAGTCACAAGGTTACAATGAAGAATAATAAAGGAAACTACGAACCTTACACTCTGTGGAAATGATTATGTATCACTAATTTCTGACATTAAAAATAATTACGACTCAAGGCAAATAAGTTCATTAAACATATATAGAACAAAAAATAATCCGTACTTTTAACATCTCAGACTTATAATTAAATTAATTATATAAAATATGTACATTTTTACTAACTGCTTTCTCTATACACATATCCTACCTGCCACCTTTTGACAAGTTCAAGGGTTCTCAGAGGCATTGTGGGAAATGTAGGAACAAGTCACAATACAATAGCCAGTTAGAGATAGACCAAAAATAATGACAAATCATGACTACAAAATGAAATGAAAGAAGTAAACAAAATGTTTTAAGGTGGATTTTTCTTTGAGCTCTACATTAAAGCTCTGAGAACACGATTCAAAAGAAAGATGGAGGAGGATGATACAGATGAAACTTCAGTCACTTTTTCGTCATTCTTTGGACACTTGCCAAATAAATTATTTTTCCAACAACAAGCTGATTTCGTGATCGACTCGAAACGGAGATGAACCCATACACTGTTTGTGTCTTGTCCAAAAAGAAAAAACAGAAAAAGGCACGTGTGCTCTTCTTCAGGAAACCGGCAACTTTACCTCAGTCAGTGAAGCTACTAACTCGGCAAGATTGTGACATCTACACTTCTCTTTTTCTATAGAATACTGTATGCATGAATATACGAGTACACGATAATAATTATGTCTCCTGAGATGGCGTTTCTGTCTTTCTTTGTCCGTGCCACCTAAGTTTAAATCACTTTAAAAAGAAAATAAAAGAAGACATAGTTATTGTTTATTGCTCAAATACGGGTGAACTAGCAAAACAATATCCTTCAGGTTTTTCCACGAGAAATAATATTTTAGGGATGAGAAACCACAAGCACTTGGCTCGGTTCCCACGGGAACTTTTTAACTTTTCATACGTGGGGTAAAAAAAAAAGAAATGCTATTATAATATTTGTCTTTTCTCTGCTCTCCATGTAGGACTGTTAGGATATGCAATGAGAAAACAATCAGCGGAGGTTTCTGGGTTTTATTGATCCTTTTCCAGCTCTGTACGTTACGCCTTTCTGCCATTTTACATCGCTTTATTAGCCAACTTTTTAGTAGTTAATTTATTTATTATATCTGGACTTTCATGGATATCTTCTTTTGTCTGCAAGCGAAAAATAAAAAGTGAAAAACAAGTTTGATTCAGATGCTCGTTTTTTATTGAGACTCACTATAATCTCTGATTAAGTGCATTTTATTATTATTTATGTTTTCTTTTTTTTTTCTGGCTTAGTTTCAACCAAAATATAGACTAATGCTAATAATAGTAATAGTATTAATAATTGTAAATGGCCATTGGTCACACCACCAGTTTGTTTTCCTGTAAACTTGGAGGAAGCCTGCGTGCAGAGCAGACTTCTGCTGCAGCACGCTACACACCGACCCCGCCCCCCCCGACCATACCATTTTTTCTACTTGCTCATTTCAATGTTTAGATGCTTTTTTGCAACGTTATCTAACGATTTTGGGGCTTTTATGTCTATTTTTCACTATTTTCTGACATTTTATGCACAAAACATTCAATCAAAGAAATAATATCTTAAATGTCGTCTTATTGCTTTGTCGGGCCTAAAGACCATAAAACTGAAAGATATTAAAACGAGACACATTTTAAACAATGATAACAACCATCACATTTGTTGTTGCTGATTCATTTTATGTATATAATGTACAAATCATTTCATTTTAAACTATAATCATTGTTAGTAAATGCTCATTTAAAGAAAAAAATTCTGCATTGCACCTGCTGAGTATTTCACGTAAAGCATATTTTTCCTGTTGTAAAACACCTGCATGTCTTGTTCACAGCATTTTTTTAAAGAGAAATATCCACCTTCCTCTTCATATCTTTCCACAGAAACCTGAATAATATTCTAAATGTAACCATGTGTGATTCCACTCCTGCTGTTTGTTCCAGCAGCTTCATTCCTCTGGAGCTTCCCACAGCGAGTCTGTGTTTTAATCCTCTACAGAGGTATTCACCGTCGCCCAGTGAGCCTGGTGAAATGCCATAGAAACCAGCGGCACCATAGAAACCAGTCCACCAGGAACATACTGTTCTTCTGCACATCAAACCGCTGCCTCTGCACTCTCACCTCTACCGCTCCACCTGCCGCTTTCTCACTCCGCTTTACATTTCAGGGACTATTTTGTTGTTGTTTTTATAATATGAAATCAACAGATTTTAGGGTGAATTTGTCTGTGCCTGAGAAAAATGTTTGGGAGCCATGTTGGGGCGTTTTGGTGTCTGTGTGGTGAAAATGGAGGTTCTTCTTCCAGCAGATGGCAGTGTGAGCTCAGACACCGCCTCTCCTCCCTCTACTGTAAATCATGTAAAGCTGCTTGGGGGGGGGGTTAGGAAATACAACATTTGTTCACAGATCTGGGCATTATCCTGAGTTGACCGGCCGGAATCACTGCCACTGTTTTTTCTCCTGTTTGTGAACAAAACTCACAGGGAGGGCAAGGTTGATTCACGTCCTTCCCCACACCGAGTTCTGCCGCATTTTGTGGCGTCGGGTCTCCCTCAAAATCACCAAGGACATGCCACACATGGTCTGGCAGAGGAAACACAGACAGGGTGGTTAGCACGAGGAGGAAGTACAAGTAGTTTTAAGGGGGAGATACAGTAAAGAAGAAGAAGAAAGGTGGCAGATGAAGAGTTAACCTCCACAAGACCCGTCTGAACCAGGGGTGGGACCTGCTCCTTCATAAGCCCAGCAGAGATAGAGAGAGGGAGGGAGGGAGGGAGGAGGAAGAGGAGGGGGATGATAGAGAGAGGAGGAAATTAGAGTCGACACGAGTGGTGTGACGGGCCGAACAGAGGCCGAGTAAGGATAGCCGAGAACCCTTTCACTACTGACCTACTTCCTCCAACACACACATACACGTGTGCACAAATGTGTTTGTGTGATTTTATAAGGCAGGTCGATGAGGACTAAATCTTGTGTTAAATGCTACACACACTCAGAAACACACACTCTGAAAGCAAGCAGTTCTACATGTTGAACCATTTTACGTGCATTCACACAAGAGTGCAAGAAGTACTTACTCGAGATGAAGTAGTAATACCAGAGTGTAGAAATATTTCACTCCAAGTAAAAGTCCTGCATCAAAACCTAAAACCTGTTTAGAAAGTACTCATTATGCAGAGTAATAGGCTGTTACTGGACTTTAGTGACTGATGCATCGATGTGTTCATCAGTTCATTGATGCAGCTGGTATCTAAATAACTTATATACAGCCAGTGGCGGCCGGCCCATAGGGGCGCTAGGGGCGCCGCCCCCCCTCTTCCCACATGTTTCATAGTCATTAAAAATTAAAAAATAAATACAAAAATGTGTTTCAAATTTTTTTTTTTTTTTTTTAAAGAACAAGGTAAATATTATATAGTTGGTATCAGTAAAGTGTATAATCTACAATAAAATCTCGTTTAAAATTGTTTTACGATGTCTAAAGTTACTGATAAGTCACATGTTTCCTGGCTGGCCGCAGCGTGTATCATTACCCTCTCTCGTCCGGGCGGTAGAAAGGAGCCCTCAGCCAGAGCAGCAGCAGCCAACAAGCTGACTGTTGCTATCTGTAAACTATGCCGCCGAAACATAATTTCAGCCAATCAGCGTCGTCAGATCTGAAGCTCAAAGGGCGCCCTGTCAGCGCCCTGGCCTGTGTGTCTGTGAGTTGTTTGGACTCGTATCCAAGGTGACGCTACAGTAGTTGTCTGCAGGTGTAGACTCTGGTGCTAGTGGACCGCTGGAGCTGTAGATTAACATTTGCATGCTTATTGTAGTTGTAAGGGCAATGCCTGTAGCACCATGGAGCATATGTGTTGGCTGGACCTGTATTTTACAGGAAAGGAGTGATCAGAGCAGGGCCGGCCCTAGACTTTTGGGGGCCCTAAGCGAGCTTTGGCTTGGGGGCCCCCCTCACTCTAGCGCGTTCTCACTACACACAACACGGAACCAACTTTTGTCTTATGATGTTAGCATAAGCACACATATTGTATAAATAAGCATGTAAACACCGGGGACCTAACCTACTCTAGGGGGGTCCTCACCTCCTCTAGGGGGGCCCGGGGGCATGCTCCCCCGGGAAGATTTTTTTTAAAATATTGAAGAAGTTAAAAGAATCAATCTGGTGCACTTTGAGAGCAAAATTAAGAGATCTATGGATACATCTCTCCAACACCCATATGAAACAGAACTGTAAGAGATTTTCTGTATGGATTATTTACAAAATCACTTAAACTGTATTCTTGTTTTGTTCATATAGTATTTCATAACTGTTTTTCATTTATTCTCTCTGGCTGTCCATCTCATGAGATGTTCACATAGAACTTAGCTGTCAATAGGAATATCATTCCAGAAGACTTATAATTTCTTGCAAATATCTGTCACAAAAGAGGTTGCACATTTAAATTCAGGTGTTGTTATGGCAATGTCAGTGTGGCCAAACAGCCAATTTTACTGCCTGCGCAAATATGTTCAAACATGCGTTGACACGTAAAGCAGTGGCAACTATGCCACCATTTCAGCTGACTTTTTTCTCAGAAATACTGTCACATAACATATTTAAGTGCGTAGGTTGATGCTTAGCAAAGCTAACTATGAAACACTTTAACTGAACAGGACTCCGGATCAACTGTGTAACTGTAAGGTGCTTATAGTTCATGTCGAACAGTAGCTTTTCTTTTGAAATTACCACTAACGCTTAAAAAACATACATTTAGTTGTATGACAAAAGTGTTATTTTAATGATATCTTGGGCTAGCTATATTCTACTGCTAACGGTTTAGCTTACCCGCTGATTCAAAGTAACGCTCACGTACGCTGTAATTTATGCTTTTGCTACATGTTCGCATGTAACTTGGAGTTCACTGACATTTACATACCTTGTTTTACCTGGGCCCAAGTTGTGCTTCTGCGGGTTGTTGTGTGAGCCCCCACCCACTGAGAATTTGTTCGTATTTTTTAGAAAACATTTTTCTTTATTGTCCATCTTTTCAAACTTCTGGAGTCTCACTGACAGTTTATTTTAAGACATTGTCACAGCTCACAGGATTAGGTACTAGGCATGGCTGGTATCATTTTTTCATACGTCATACCTTGCTGCACGTCATGCCGTGGTATCCGGTAATATGACGGTATCAGTCCCAATTTAAGGGGTCATTTCTCCCAAAAAAAATTTTTTTACCTCACTAATATCAACAGCCCCACCAAAAATATTTCGCCCACCAGGCCTGCCAGCTGACATTATGACTTTGCGGGTCGACTTGAGTGAGGGGCGGTTCGGCCGGCAAATAGATGTTTCAAACGGTATATTATATGTCGCGGTTGCTAAAATGCAGCCCGAGGCCGGTAGACGCTCGCAAAGTGCCGCGACGTGCCGCAAGTGCAAAAACAAGGGCTTGCATACATGACACATTGTGGCAAAATGGCACAAGTTTGAGATCGGATTACAGGACGCGTTTGTATATGTCCGACGTTGTTTCCATTAGTGAGCTAGTTAACAATATTCTCATACATAACATTTTCCCGGGGAGTAAATACTTGACTTAATTGCAATAAAAGTTTGCTATATCACTTAACTAGTTTGGCATATTATTTTCCGCTGCATGTGCTTAAAAACCTATTTCATTGCATTTCATTGGATTACTCGCCGTGAATGTTTTAGACGTAAATGCCTTTCGTTTTTAAACCGTCCAACCTCAAAACTTACCAAACATCAACCAGCTTGCATAGGAATTAAATACACAAACAATTGTGATAGCTGTATTAAAGCTCCGGAGGTGGAAACAGTCCTGATTAAATTGATTTTGGGTCAGAAATCGGGGAGAAATGCGGGAGATGTCCCGCGAAAATTCGCGAGGGTTGGCAAGCTATGACACACACACACACACACACACACACACAACACACACACACACTACACACACACACACACACACACACACACACACACACCACACACACACCACACACAATTGTTCGTATTGTAGGTCTGCCTGATTTTTAAATTGGGGAAATTAAATCATTTGAGTCTTCCCAAAGCACCAGTGTTCTGCAGTTGTGTGGCTTACTGGACTGTTGCACAGGAAGACTTCATAGCTAACCACACTGAAGATTATGGGATTATT